TTTTATTGGATGATTGGAAAACTCAGGACACATTTTTGCATAGAAAAACAGAAAAGAAATGAATGACTTTTCTGCTAACCCAATATATGTAATGTTTTGTTTGCCTGAGATCTTTTAAAGAATTAAACATAAATCAAAGCATTCGATGTACAGGTATTTTTAAATGATTTTTTTCTTATTAACATGTTTACGTATTTTGCAACTAAAATTTTTAAGTGCAATGATGTAATTAAAGTATTTAGTCAAAAAATTAACACAGGACTGCAGATGGCGTAGTGGTTGAGGTGCAGAATTCTCATCTGACCAATCACAGTTCAAGTCCCGGACCTGACAGCTTAGAACTCATACCAGGTGGTGTGTGTGCATGCCTGAAATCCAAAGAGGAGAAAGGAGGAGAAGGGATTGCAGCATGAACTGTCCCTTCTCAGGGGTGATCTCTCACTTTCTGTCTCTCTGGCGAGCCCATGTGTCCTATAGCAAACATCTCTTTAAAAAAGAAGGAAAAAAATTAACACAGTCCTGATAAGGTTAAAGCTTTTTTTTTTTTGGGAGGGGGTTGGGGTTTGGCCAGAGCCTTCACCTTTCTTCCTCCTCAGTGGTAACGATAATTATCTGTGTAGTGTGAATTTTACCAGGGCTTTTTCTAGCTATTTGTGTATACAAATATATACACTTAGAAGATGTGCAATGGTGTTTTATGTTATAAAAAAATCACATGGTTCAAAATGCTCTACTTTTTTTGAGAGAGATTTTTGCTATAGGGCGTGCGTGCTCACCAGAGAGACAAAGAGAGACAGACAGAAAGTGAGAAAGCACGCCCGCCCCCCAGGGGGTTGGCCATGCTGCAATCTCTTCTCCTCTATTCTCCTCTCAGGAATTTGGGCATGCACACACACGCACCCAGCATGAGTTTTAAGCTGCCAGATCCAGAACTTGAACTGCAGTTGACTACGTGCTGATCCCTATAACTTGTTTTTTTTTTTTTTACTCCATAATGTTTCTTTGAATCTTCCTATGGTAAATAATAAATTATTTCATTTTTTACTATATAATATTTTGTAGTATACAACACATAAGTCAGGATTCATTTAATGTGGGGTAATTGTAATTTATTACTCTGATAGCCATTGGGTTATTAGACATAGTGCTGCATGAACAGTTTCGTGTTCTTTGTGAACATTTTGTGTTCATATTTTATGAAGCTATATGTGTCTTGATTCAGGGTAGATTCTGAGGGATAGAATTCCTAGGTCTGTAGGGCATGTACTAAATGACGGCTTTCATGGACACTCGTTTGCCCTTCAGAGTAGCTATGCCAGTTGATACTACCACCAGCAGGGGAAGTAACTCTTTCTCCACAAACTGCAAATATGTAACAAACAAACAGACAAATCTGGTAGTTTGTATTTTCCTCAGTTCTCTATTCCTCTGTCTTTACAATTCCCATTCTACCTTAAATGTTTAGAATAAATACATGAACTGAATGCTAAGTACATTGGAAAAAAGACTTTATTTTCTTACTAGATATTTTGTGGCATAGGGGCTTGAATTTGAAGAAATGATTATCCTCTGATACCTTTGACTTGAAATGGTGCCAGAGTGTCTGTAGATTGTATTGTATCATTAGAGCTAACAGCACCCAAACTTTCTATTTCTAGTTTATTCAGATTTATACTTGATCAGCTCTATTGGTCTAAGAGTATCACAAAATCTCTTATCTTTTTTTTTTTTTTAAGAATTATTTTATTTAACTTTATTTATTTATTTTTAATCTGACCAGAGACGGACAGAGTGAGAGAGAGAAAAAGAAAAGAAGCTGCCAGGTCCAGGACTTGAACTGTGGTTGGCCATGTGGGTCCTGTGCCCTTAACCACCATTCTACCTGCTGGCCCCATCTCTATCTTTTAATACATGTAACTCCAATGTGTTTTGAAAAAAATTACTGTTATCTTTTTCAGATGTATCTATACGATTTAATTCAATATTATCTTCCAATAAATATCAAAACTTCACTATGTCATAAAAAAGAAAAAAAATGTAAAATCTGGATAGTGAAAACTGGTATCTTCTAGTTTTAATGTGTTTTTTTCCTGATTAATAATGAGGTCAATCCATCTCTTCGTATGTTTATTGGCCTTTCATGTTTCCTTTTGTGTGAATTGCCTACTAATGTCCTTGCCTGTTTTTTTTTTTAAGATTATTTTATTTTATCAATTAACAGAAGCAGTGAGATGTTTAGAGTTTTTATTTTAATTACTTTATTTAACTTTATTTATTCATTTATTTCATTTCAATTTGACCAGAGAGGGACAGAGCAAGAGAGGAAGAGAGAAGAGGGAAAGTGAGAGAGCAAGGTTCAGGACTTGAACCGTGGTCAGCCATGTGGGAGTCCAGCGCCCTTAACCACCACGCTACCTGCCGGCCCCTCCTCGCCTGTTTTTATTTTTGAATTGTCATCTTATTGATCTGTAGGATTTCTTTTCTTTCTTTTTTTTTTTTTAAGAATTATTTTATTTAACTTCTATTTATCCACTTATTTATTTTAATTTGACCAGAGAGTGAGAGTGTGTGTGTGTGTGTGAGAGAGAGGTGAGAGTGTGTGTGTGTGTGGGAGAGAGAGAGAGAGAGAGTGCATGAGAAAGCAAGCCGCCAGGTCTGGGACTCGAACCATGGTTGGCCATGTGGGAGTCCAGCGCCCTTAACCACCGTGCCACCTGCTGGTCCCATAGGATTTCTTTATTCTAGGGTCATACTGTAGTTCCATTACTTTAGTTTCATGCTTTGATATATCCAAGGGCAGTGTCTATTCTTTCTGAATTGTCTCTATTATTCCACATTTCTCTTTGACATATATTTAAAAATTTAGAATGAGAGGGACCGGCAGATGAGATAGCAGTTACATTGCTGGACTTCCACATGACCAACGACAGTTTGAGTCCCAGACCCAGCAGCTTGAAACTCCTGCCAGGCATATGTGTGTGCATGCCCAAGATCCCAAGAGGAGAATGGAGAAGGGATCGCAGTATGGCCATTCCCCCCGGGGGGTGATTTCTTGCTCTCTCTCTCTGTCTCTCTGGTGAGCACATGAGCCCTATAGCAAAAATCTCTCTTAAAAAAAAAAAAATTAGAAGGACCAGCAGTTAGTGTAATGGCTATGTTGCTGAACTCCTATATAGTCGAACGCAGTTTGAGTCCTGAACCCGGTGGCTTAAACTCAAGCCAGGCACGTGTGTGTACGTGCCCAAGATCTCGAGAGGAGAATGGAGGAGAAGGGATTGCGGCGTGGCCATCCCCCTGGGGGATGATTTCTTGCTTTCTGTCTCTCTGTCTCTCTCTGGTGAGCGCACGCGCCCTGTAGCAAAAACCTCTCAAAAAGAAAAAAAATTAGAATGGGAGATGTTGGTTAGTGGATAAGTTGTATTTATCATAGGGCGGGCGCCACCACGACCAGTGGATGAGTTGTATTTAGATAAGAGGAGTAAGATCTAGTGCTCTATAGTACCACAGGGTGACTGTAGTTAACAATTTATATTTCAAAATGGCTAGAGAAAGAGGATTTTGGAGGCTAGCAGGTAGTATAGTGGTTATGTTGCTGAACTTCCACATGACCGGCTACAGTTTGAGTACTGGACCCAGCAGCTTAAAACTCAGGCTGGGTGCTGTGTGTTATGCGTACCTAAAATCATAAAGGGAGACTGGAGAAGGGATTGTGGTGTGGCCATTTTCCCTGGGGAGTGATTTCTCGCTCACTCTCTGTCTCTCCAGCAAGCACACATGTCCTTTAGCAAAAAATACTCTAGAAAAAGGATTTTGAGGGACCAGCAGTTGGCGTGATGTCTGAGTTGCTGAACTCCCATGTGGTCAACTGCGTTTGAGTCCCAGACACGGTGGCTTAAACTCATGCTTGGCGCATATGTGTGTGTGTCCAAGATCCCAAGAGAAGAATGGAGGAGAAGGGATTGTGACGTGGCCATCCCCCCGGGGGTGATTTCTCACTTTCTGTCTCTCTGTCTCTGTCTTTCTGGTGAGCGCACGTGCCCTTTCGCAAAAACCTCTCCCCCCCCAAAAAAAAAGAAAAAGAAAAAGGATTTTGAATGTTTCCAGCACTAAGTATTGACAAATATTTGAAATGATAATATGCTAATTGTCATTATACAATGTATTCATATATTTAAAAAATTATACTACCCTGTAAATATGTACAATTATTGTCAATTTAAAACAATTTTTAAATGTATAAATAAAAATATGTAAATAAGTACAAATTTTAGAATCAGCTTGTCAGGTTCAGTGAATAATCCTGTTGAATTTGGTACTGTTTAGTTCTACAGTTTCATGTGGCTAGAGGTATTATGTATTTTATCAACACCATTTGTTTAATCTTACTGAGACTAATATGACTTAGTGAATTAAAGTCATTTAGTGATACTGACTAAAATAGTTTACCTTACTGTCATGTTTCATGTTCCTTAGAAATAATTGTCCTTTTTAAAAAATTATTTATTAAATTTCATTTATTCATTCATATATTTTATTTTTTAGAATTATTTATTTAATTTTATTCATTCATTCATTTTATTTTATTTTAATTTGACTGGAATGAGGCACAGAAAGAGAGAGAGAGAAAGTGAGAAAGCAAGCCACCAGGTCTGGGACTCGAATCGTGGTTGGCAATGTGGGAGTGTCTAGCACCTTAACCACCACACCACCTGCTGGTCCCCTCACTCATTTATTTTTAATTTGACAGAGAGAGACATAGAGAAAGAGAGAGAAAGAGGGGAAATGAGAAAGCAAGCTACCAGGTCCAGGAGTTGAACCATGGTCAGCCATGTGGGAGTGTCCTGCACCTTAACCACCATGCCACCTGCTGGCCCCAATAATTGTCCTTTCTTTCAGCATATTTCTAAATGTGTGTTCTCTGAACTGTTATAAAGGAGTAATGGTGAGATGTGCAATGTTGGATGAAAAATTATACTGTCTTTTCTGTCTTGTTTTTCTAGCAATCCCAAAAGTGAGACTGGAGACAATCTACATTTGTGGAGTAGATGAGATGAGTACTCAGGATATTTTTTCGTATTTTAAAGAATACCCTCCGGCTCACATTGAATGGTTGGATGATACCTCTTGTAAGTATGCTCGATCTTTTTGTTGAATATACTTTGTTTATGATTTTTAAAGAATTCTTGCCATCTGAAATGGTTCATCATTATGGCCCAGACTACTCATTCATGCCTAACCTCTGTCCTTAACCTAGGAGAAAAAAATAATTGCCCATTGATAAGAACCAGCATGCCTTGGGAACCAGCAGTTAGCGTAACAGCTATGTTGCTGGACTCCCACATAGTCGACCACGGTTTGCGTCCCGGACCCGGTGGCTTAAAACTCACGCCGGGTGCGTGTGCGTGCGTGCCCAAGGTCCCGAGAGGAGAATGGAGGAGAAGGGATTGCGGCGTGACCATCTCCCCTGGGGGGTGATTTCTCGCTTTCTGTCTCTATGTCTCTCTCTGTCTGTCTGGCGAGCGCACGCACCTGAAAAAATCTCTACAAAAAAAAAAAAAAAACCAGCATGCCTTAACCAGTCTGCCAGTTCACATGCCATGGGTATTCCAAGTCAAGTAGCGACCAGAAATATAGGATATTGGTTGCTGGCATCTGAGTCTAGTATATGAGATTGAGGTCTCCTCAACATAATTTCCCACCAAAGGAATGGATCCACCTGCATAGACATAGGGCTTGCATATAAATGTATATATACATACATACAAGGTGGGCTTAATGTGGTCTCTGGGTTATAGTTTGCTAACCTCTGATTTAAGTTAATACAACTATAGCTAAGAAATATTAATTATACGTATATTAGCTATATATATTTCTTTTCTCTTATAAACAGAGAAAGGAAATTATTGGTCTAAAGCCACATAACATGTTAGTAACAAAAAGCGAGGGTCTTTATTTATTTTTTTTTGGAGAGGTTTTTGCTATAGGGTATGTGTGTTCGCCAGAGAAACAGGGAAACAGAAAGCGAAAAATCACCCTGCAGTGGGGATGGCCATGCTGCAATCCCTTCTTCATTCTCCTCTTGGGATCTTGGACACGTACGCACACACACCTGGCATGAGTTTAAGCCACCAGGTCCAGGACTCAAACCGTGGTCGACCACATGGGAATCCAGCAATGTAGCCATTACACCATCTGCTGGTCCCGAAGCGAGGATCTTTAGACCTTCATTTCCCAAATGGAGATAATAGGAGTAACATAATTTTGTGAAACTATATTTTTTTACAGAGTTAAAGAGATTTCTACAAGGCTTTTCAAAGCCTTTTTCTTACAAAATTCTGTTCCTTAATTTAGTTGCTTCAGGGCTAGCCCCATAGTCTGGTGGTTGGGGGAAGCTGAATCCCACACAGCTGACCAAGCAGTTTGAATCCCAGACACAGTAGCTCGAGAAACACACCAGGTGCATGTGCATGTGTGCCCTAAATCTTGATAGGATGGAGAAATAAAGGGATTGCAGCATGACCATGCCTCACTGTGGGAGTGCTTTCCCTCTCCCCTCTCTCTGGCAAATACATGCATCCTCCAACAACTGAAAGAAAAATAGTTGCTACAAAGCCACTTGTCTGTCATGTGTCTGTTGTGTATATCTCATGGGTACCTTCGTCACCTACACTTTACAATCATTTAGTATGTCCAGATGACAGGGAACAGCAGAGTGCTCCCCTGAAGGGGGCAGTAATGAAGGACAATCCAAATTCACATGACAATTATCATCATCAAGAACTACTAACACTTGCATTCTAGGCAGTTTCAATATACAGAACCCTTTTTCATGGAATACGTAACAGTTATTTCATGGAACCCAGTTTGGGGATGTAGGGGAGGCTAATCTCTGATCAAACAGATTTTACTGCCATTTGTAAGTTGTATTCTTCCTTAGTTGTTTGTGCATTTAGATGACAGCCTGCGACTGTAGGTCAGGCTGTAGTAATGACTGTGATATAGAATTTGCTTCTGAGAAACTTACTGTTGAGATGCAATGATCTTTCATTTTATATGTTATTTTAGGTAACGTGGTTTGGCTGGATGAAATGACAGCCACACGAGCCCTTATCAATATGAGCTCTCTGCCAGCCCAGGATAAAATAAGAAGCAGGGATGCCAATGAAGACAAGTCATCTGAGAAAAATAAAAAAGGTAATTGAATGCCAAAGAGGGTGTTTTGGCTTGAAGACCCAGTTTTTACACAGTCCTGTGTTAGGCTTCTGAGTTTCTGAGAAGAGTGCCTCTCATTACCTGGTGTTTCATACGCTGTGGTGCTTTGGGTCATTAGTAAATGGGAGAAAATACTGGACTTCTAAAATTATGTGAGATGAAGTTGTGTTAAGGTTTACTTTGTCCCTCACATTCCATTTTAGACAAGCAGGAAGACAGTTCGGATGATGATGAGGCTGAAGAAGGAGAAGTTGAAGATGAAAACTCAAGTGATGTAGAGGTTAGTAATAGGATATAAGATATATGTAAGGTTTTATTGTAAAAATTTTTTATTGTCTATTTTATTTAAGGCTTAAAGACTTAGTAAGCTCAATTCTTCCTCTAGCTTTCCCCAGGGTTGGCCTTAGGTTCATGTGGATGTAACAATTCATCTTGAGATCTTAGACTAATACCCACACATCTATAAAAAGAAAACTGTTTTGGGACTAGCCAATGGCCTAAGGGTTACATCCCTGGACTCTCATGTAGTTGACTGTGGTTCCAGTCCTGGACCTGGCAGTTTAATACTCATGCTGGGTGCATGTGTGTACATGCCCAAAGTCCCGAGAGGAGAAAGGATTGTGGCATGGCCATCCCCCCTGGGGGCGATTTCTCGCTTTCTGTCTGTCTCTCTATCTCTCCAGCAAGCACATATGCCCTATACCAAAAAATCTCTTTTAAAAAAAGAAAACCAGGGACCAGCAGTTGGCATAATGGCTACGTCGCTGGACTCCCATGTGGTTGACTGCGGTTCAAGTCCCAGACCTGGTGGCTTAAATTCATGCTGGGCATGTGTGCCTGCTTCTGTCTCTCTGTCTCTCTTTTTCTAGCAAGTGCACGTGCTCTATAGCAAAAACCTCTCAAAAACAAACACACAAACAAAAAAGAAAACTGTTTTACTGAGAAATACTTTGAAGTGTTATCTAATCATTAAAATTATGAAAGGTGGGCTGGATGCCTAGCATAGTGCTTAAGTGCGATGCTGAGGGAGCTGGATCCCACATAGTCATCGTGATTCAAGTCCCAGCCCTGGCAGCACACTGCGTATGTTTGTGCATGCCCAGGATCCTGATGGGATGGAATAATGGAGGAGAAAAGAATTGCAGTGTAACCAGGCCCCCGGATTGAGACTTTCGTCTTTTTCTCACTCTGGTGCACATGCAAGTGCCTTCTGGTCTAAAAAAGAGAAAGGAAAAAAAGAAAGAAAAAAAAACAGAAAGAAAGAAAGACAGGACCAGTATGTGGCATAGTGGTTAAAGCCCTGGACTGCCACATAGTTGACTTTAATTCAAGTCCTGGACCCATCAGCTTGAAACTCATGCCAGGTATGTGTGCATGCCCAAAATTCTAAGAGGAGAAGGGATTGCAGTGTGGCCATCCCTGTGGCGGTGATGTCTTACTTTCTGTCTCGTGGTCTCTCTCTGTCTCTCTGGCAAGCACACACATTCAATAGCAAAAATCTCTCAAAATTAAAAAAAAAAAAAAAGAAAAGACAAGTAATGGTATATATCCTAATAGATTATATGCTATTATTGGAAATATTAGAGGGTATTTATTCTTAAAATATTATATGCCTATATACCTAATTCTAGGTGCTAGTGTGTAGAAAAATACATCATGACTTTCCAACAATGCAATAGCACCAAGCAAAACAAAGTCTTTACCCTCTTGGAACCTACATTTCAGTGGGGAAAACACACAATCATAGACACTCAGATTATAATCTAAGGTTAAGAGGTGATGAGTCTGCAAAGAAAAGGAAAGGAGGATAAGAGAATAGAGAATGATGGAGGGCTGACCCCAGAGCATAGGGGCTAAAGGAGCCAGATCCCCTATGGCCAATCCTGGGCCTTGGCAGTTTGAGAAACATGCTGGTCACGTGTGCATGCATGCCCCCAAATCCTGACAGGATGGAGAAATAGAGGGGAAGGTATTGTAGCATGATCACATGCCACTGAGGGGTACATTCTCCCTCTTTCTGTCTCTCTTTCTCTGGTGAGCACGTGCGACCTCTGGCATTAAAATAAAATAGAGGGGCCAGCAGATGGTGTAAAGGTTACACTGCTGGGCTCCTATATAGTGACTGCAGTTTGAGTCCTGGACCTGGCAGCTTAAAACTCATTTCTGGCATGTGTGTGTGCATGCCCAAAATCCCAAGAGGAAAATGGAAGAGAAGGGATTACGGTGAGACCATCCCCTCTGGGGGGTGATTTCTCGTTTTCTGACTCTGTCTCTCCAGCAAACACACATGCCCTGTAGAAAAATCTCTGAATGAATGAATGAATGAATGAATGAGTAAATGAGAGAGGGGGAGAGAATGATAGAGACTTGTTTTAGGTAAGGTACTCAGAGAAGCCCTGACTTTGATCAGCAGATAGCATGATGGCTATGTCACTGGATTCCCATGTAGTTGACCACGGTTCAAGTCCCGGACCCATTGGCTTAAACTCAAGCCAGGTGCATGTATGTGTGTGCCCAAGATCCCGAGAGGAGAATGGAGGAGAAGGGATTGTGGCATGGCCATCCCCCTGGGGGGTGATTTCTCGCTTTCTGCCTCTCTGTCTCTCTCTGTCTTTCTGGCAAGTGCATGCACCCTATAGCAAAAACTTCTCAAAAAAAAAAAAAAAAAGTCTTGACTTAGAAATTGTATAGAGGAACTGGAACTGTAATGTTGATAGATATAAAGATAGAATGCTTTCTTAATTATAACTTGACTACTGAATAGAATAGATACTTAAAAAGACAATAATTTTTATCTTGAAAATGTTCTTTTTTTCCTAAGTTGGACACGTTGTCTCAGGTAGAAGAAGAGTCTCTGTTAAGAAATGATCTTCGTCCAGCTAACAAACTTGCTAAAGGAAATAGGTTATTCATGAGATTTGCTACAAAAGGTAAATTTAACATTGGATATTGGTTTTTATTTTCAATTAAAATGATTTGATTGTTGAGTGACATCCTTTTCTCTTTTTTTTTCATTTTTTATATTACATTTAATCACATATATCTTTACAGTATATAACATTTCTTTTTCCAGTACGATTATGTGTATCAGTCAAGACAAAGACATTACTATTCATATCATCATTATCAAATAGCTTTACATTTTTTTCAGATTGTTATTATTATTTCATTATTTTTTTAAACATTCAATCTCTATATGTCATTTGGCTTGTAAAGAGAATTTACCCAACATGAACTACTTCTCAGATCAGTCTGGTTGAGAATACTATACACGTTACTATCAACAGGTAATGAACCGTTTCTGTGTCCCACAAATGTCATGCCCTCTGTTTGTTCTCATGCTATCCTTCTCTATACCCTTCCCTCCTCCCTCCCATCCCCCGTTCCACTCTGTCTTCGACATTCATAACTATTTTCACTGCTTTTATGCCCGCCAATATTTCACTCTACCATAGGGTGCAGATAGTGGGTATATGTTAAGTGGATACACACAGTGGTTTTCTTCCATAGCCTGGCGTGCTTCACCCAGCAGTACATCTCCCATACACATCCTTTATCCTTTTCTTTGGAATAGAAGTTAGGTCAGGCAATCTCAAAGTTCCTTCAAACTATAATAGTCTGTGTTTGTGAAATAATAGCTTACTGCCTAATGTGGAATTTTAAATTAGTGTATTTGTATGTTGTGATTTCTAGTTAAAATAATTTTTTGTTAAAGCTGGTTTATCTCTTGGGGCGGCAGGTGGCATGGTGGTCATGGGCACTGGACTCGCACATGCCCAACCGCAGTTTGAGTCCTGAACCAGTCAACTTGCTACTCTCTCATTTTCTCTCTCTCTCTCCCCCCTCTTTCTGGTCAAATTGAAGTGGATAAATTAATTAATTAATTTTTAAAAAGCTGGTTTATCACATATGCTTTTTGGCTAGTTATCATTTGAATTATGAAAACTTTAAAAATTATACTTTTAATTTATTATACTGATATCCTCCTGGATGGACATTATTAATTTGCTATTAGGCTTTAACTCTCTTCTCATAAGACTTCATGCACAATGATTTTCTTGGTATATATAAAATCTGTATTTATTTGTATGTATACGTGTATATTTTCCTTAAAATCATTTGATAATTACAAGTAACAACTTTTTTAGTTGTGCCTTTATTCACTTTACCTCATTAAAAATGCACTTGGTTTTAGAGATCCTATAAATAAAGTGACCCCCATTAAAGTAGAATATAGATCATCCCTCCAAATGTGGCATTTTTGAAAAAAGCAGTATTTCTTATAGGAATTTTACTGATCACACAGGACTTAGAAGAATGTCAGATATAATGACATGTACAATCTAAACAGGACAGGCTGATTAAGAATTTATATAATGGGGAACCAGCAGTTAGCGTAATGGCTATGTCACTGGACTCCCACATAGTCGACCATGGTTTGCGTCCCGGACCCTGTGGCTTAAAACTCATGCCGGGCGCGTGTGCGTGCGTGCCCAAGATCCTGAGAGGAGAGTAGAGGAGAAGAGATTGTGGCGTGGCCATCCCCCCTGGGGAGTGATTCTCGCTTTCTGTCTCTATGTCTCTCTCTGTCTGTCTGGCGAGCACACGCGCCCTATAGCAAAAACCTCTCCAAAAAAAAAAAAATTATATGATGTAAAAATGTACACATTAAAAGTTAGCCATGTGGACAGATACATGCAGCGGAGAGATTTGGTGACAGGAATCTCTTTAGTGATCAGTAGGCCCAGATGCGATAATACTGCTTTCCCCTGCATTACAGTAAACGACTTTCACTAACAGACTCAGGTATTCCACTCGTCTACATACACACGGGCAACTGTGACCTGCTACCATACAGTCTCAAGCTGCGTAACTCAGATCTTCCTGTGGCACTCCCAAGAAAACAGTAATAGTCCCATGCAGGTGGTAGGAAACACTAGTCTTTTATTCCAGGTTGGATTTGGAAAATGTTTAAGTGTTGACATTAATATTTGTAAAGAGCATCTGTCTGCTTATGCTATGTTTTCTTTACAACTGATATGACAAGTAACAACTTTTCCCTCCTAAATACTTAAGTATTTATTTCCAAAGGGCAAGGATATTATCTTATAGTAAGCTATAAAAACTAGGAAACTTAACATTCATACAACACTTGTTACCTAATTCAGTCTATATTCAGATATCATCAGTTTTCCAAAAATGTGTCTTTTATAGATTCCCTTACCTCCATCTGTGGGATCTACTCCAGGACTGAGTGTTTACTCATAGCTCTTTAGTTTCTCTTAATCTGAAACTATGTCTCTATTTTGTTTTCCTTGACTGAGCCATTTTTTGAGTTACATAGACTCATTAGTGTATAGAACATCCCTCCTTTGGATTTGTTTGATGTTTCCTCCTGATTGGATTCCATTTGTATATTTGAGGCAAGAATACCACAGAAGTAATGATGTGTCATTTTCAGAGTATTATCAGAAGGCACATATTAATGCATCGGTTCATAGGGTGTTAACTTTATTCACTTTCCTAAGGTAATGGTTGTCGGGTTTTTCCACTGTAAAGTCACTATTTACGTTTATTAAAAAAAAAACCTTGATGGTGAGATATTCTGAGATTATGTAACTAGCCTGTTGCTTGTAAGACTTTGAAGCTTCAGCATTTGTTAATGATCTCCTAACATCATCAATTCTTTATTAGTTGGTAGCCTGCTCTAAGGAAGAATGTTTCCTTTTTTACCTATTCATTTATTTGTTTATTTACTTTTAGCAATTTAGACTCATGGGTTGTTACTTATTCAGTGGGTCATCATCCCTGACTGTTATTTTGATTCACAAACTGTCTTGGATTTGGTCAGTAGAGCCTCTTTAGGCTGTTCTGACATGCAGCATGGATTCATTGAGCACTTTTTTATGGCACAATAAAACATCCTGTTTTTCTAGACACAGATTCATACTATATCTGCTCCAGATCTGGAAACAGCTGTTTCTCTGAGGAGCTGGTGGGCAGTTTTCTTTTTGGGTGCACATACTGTATTTGTGTTGCCATATTTACCTGCCCTGGATATATTTTCAGTGGCATTTGTCCTCTGCAGTCAGAGTGCCCGAGGAGCTGTTGAAGCCTTCATATTGCTGCTTTTGACATAAAACATATGTGATCTCTGACTACCTTTCCTTCTTGTTAACTGGAATTTTAACTTGACAAATGTGACATTTTATTCATGTGAGTGGCTTAGTGCATTCTAGATGTATGATACTATGACATTTTCTATAAACCAGTTTTGGGACATCACAATAAGTGGAAAAATTTTACCAGGTATTTGGAATTATGTGTAATCTATTTTTTTAATGCTTATTCTGTGCTGTTAGAGTCATTTGGAAACAAGTGTCATCTTTCAGGAGGGGTCATCAAAAATCCTACCTCCAATGCTTCTTAGAACCTTATATCTCGTATTACTGTTCATTTTTTAATAGTGTTTCCTCTGCTGAGTCAGTCAACTCCTCAACAGTAGCTTAGCTTCGTACATCTCTGTATTTGCTCTACCCCTCCACACTGCACTGCCTCAGTAGGCACTCAGAGTGAATATTTATAGTGGATTTTTCCTTTTGACTGGTACTTCAAGCTGAGCTCATCCCAGCTATGGAAAACATCATTATCGTCATCATCATCATTATTATTATTTTTTTAACCATTCAACATTATCTTTACATCCTCAGGAAATCCTAGATAACTGTTGTAATTAATTTTTAGATGACAAAAAGGAACTTGGTGCAGCCAGAAGAAGTCAATATTATATGAAATATGGGAATCCAAATTATGGAGGCATGAAAGGAATTCTTAGCAATTCTTGGTGAGTCCAAACCTTAAAATACAATAGTTTAAATAGTAGTTAAACTTTTATTACGATACCTTCAGTTGGTATTCTGTAGTGGAATGTCAAACCTTCATGTGGACTAGAAGGGTGACAAGAAGGAAGAATTTACAACTCCAGCCGTGGTTAATGGTGTGAGAATGCAGAGTTTCAGTTTTATTTAAAACATTTCTGGGGCCAGCTGATGGTGTGGTGGTTAAGGCGATTGGATCCCATATGGCCAACTTTGCTGTTCGGGTACCAGATAGGGTGGCTTGAAAACACGCCAGGCATACATGCATGCATGCCCAAAATCCCAAGAGAGGAATGGGGGAGAAGGGATCGCGGTGTGGCCAACCCTGCCTGGGGGATGATCTCTCACTTTCCCTCTCTCTTGTCTCTCTCTGGAAAGCACAAGCACTTGTGCCATATAGCAAAACTTTAATAAAAAGGGAAACAATTCTCTAAAATTACATCAATGTGCAGTTGAAATGACTTAGTGAATTTCAAGTTCTTTTCTATTAGGTTTTGATCATGTACTTATTTTGGCAATATTGCAGGAAACGAAGATATCATTCCCGTCGCATTCAACGGGATGTGATCAAGAAGAGAGCCCTGATTGGGGATGACGTTGGCTTGACGTCGTATAAACACCGACATTCTGGTAGTTGCCTGCTCAGCTCTTGGGTAGACACATGTTTGGCTCTCGAAATCTTATTTTTATTCTTAATACAGTTTTTTAAGGTTCAAAACTTTATCATCCTCTCTTCTTTGCCCTCACCCTCTGCCAACATATAGGAAAGTAAGTCAAGTCACGATTAATTTTAAATTGCCCATACAAAGAGGTCTAATGATTTTTAAAAAGCTGTTCTAACCAAAAAGGCCAAATGTGTCATAGGGAAAAATTCAAATAAAATTTTCTTAGGAACCTAATGTTCCCATTATTAGTATCAACAGCTGCATAAAGGAAAGTTGTTTTGTTTTGTTGATTATTAGATGAGCTGTTTTTTTTTTTTTTTCTGGTAATGAAAATAGGCTGCTCTGTCAAGTGCTTTACATTTGCTGGTTTGTGCTCATGAGTGCTGCAGGGAAGTGGGAAATCATGGCTTTGGTTTCTTTTCCTTCTTTCTTTCTTTCTTTCTTTTGCTTGCTCATTGTAAAAGAACCATTTTTATTATGTTTTATAAAGATATGTTTTTACTTTGAACTTAATCTGTGGAATGCTTTATAGAACTAACCAAGGCAGCATATGAACAGCACTCAAACACATTTATCATTATAATGGAACAGGAAGAGATAAGGCCTATACATTTTTATATAATGTGTATATTCAAAATTGTACGTTTGAGAGCTGCATATTTCTAACACATACATGGGCCCAGCAGGTTGCATGGTGGTAAAGACGCTAGACTCCCACATGACCGATTGCACTTTGAGTCCCAGACCTGGTGGCTTGCTTTTGCATTTTCTCTTTCTCTCTCTCGCTGTCTTTCTCTGGTCAAATTAAAAGTAATAATAATAAATAAAATAAAAATAAAAGAATCCTTTAAAAAAAATCACTAATGTTACACAGTTAACACTTTACCAATTTCCCTTGTTTTAAGATGTCATCATATACTCTTGTATTGATTTTAAGAAATTAAAAGGCAAATTGCCCCTAATTCTAACATCCTAATATAATAACTGATTTCATTTTACACTTTTTCCTGTTTGTCTATTCTCATAATAAAAATGATAATTCTTATGAATATATGTGAGGAGACTTCAGAGAAATTTGTGAAAAAATAAGGTACAAGTTTGTTTTGGTCAAAAATATTTTGAAGTCCACGTATAGTTATCTCCTAATAGGAATTTCCACAACATTTTGAAGACCTCTTGTACTTTATATTTTGTTTCTTCCACTTATCATAAGCATTTTCTCATGAACTTTAAAATTATAGTTGATTCTTATTATTTGAGTTGTTTATGCTTTATAAAGTCACTGTGAACACTGAATTCACAAATACTGAATCATCAAAGCCTCTAGTCACACCATTTCTGTCAGATGATCAAGCCTTGTTTTACCTGTTTTTCCATTTAAGGGGTACCTTATGTAATATATATTATTGATTTGTTAGCATTTAATTCAGCCAATAGCACTATAACTCATGGCTAAACCAGGCTTATCTAACACATATATTTTTTCTTATACACAGGAACACTAGCACTTCAGCACTAGATGTGGGGGCCGTTATAAATAATGAAATCCCCAAGAAAATGCACAAAAGTGTGAAAACATGACACTGAATAAAACGTGAACTGGATACTTGTTTATAATACAAGAAATGAAAAAAGGCAGAGTGTAGCTTTGTTTGACCTCAGCTGAGAATATATATATATATATATATATATATGTCCAGCAACTCAAATTTTTTTGTGGCTCTACACATGTCCACAGATTTGGCAGATTCACATACACAAAATCTGTGAATAATAAGGTTTTTAAAAGCCTTTATACTGCTCCAGTAGGCTGCTAAATCAAACTTTTATGTATTCATTCTCCTGTTACATAGTTATCAGGATGCTGTCCAGGTTGGCACCATTATCTATACATTAGTGCCCTGATAATATCTCAGTGATGGGAACCCCGTCTTTAAGAAGGTCACTAATAGTAGAATAGAAAATCATGCTTGTTAAGTTTGAGTGCTTTTCCTAATGTTTTTTGGTTAATTTTTTCAGGACTCGTGAATGTTCCTGAGGAACCCATTGAAGAGGAGGAAGAAGAGGAGGAGGAAGAGGAAGAGGTGGACCAGGACATGGATGCAGATGACAGGGTGGTGGTAGAGTACCATGAGGAGCTCCCAGCTCTTAAGCAGACCCGAGAGCGGAGCGCGTCTAGGCGGTCCAGTGCCAGCAGCTCAGACTCAGATGAAATGGACTATGATCTAGAACTGAAAATGATTTCCACTCCTTCACCAAAGAAAAGCATGAAAATGACCATGTATGCTGATGAAGTGGAATCTCAGTTGAAAAATATTAGGTAAGAGGTCAGCAGATGGCATGGTGGTTCAGGTGCTGGTCTCCCACATGACTGACTGTAGTTCAAGTCTCGGGCCTGGTGGTTTGAAATCACAATGTGTGGGGACAGCAGGTGGTGTAGTAGTTAAGGCACTGGACTCTCACATGGCCAACTGCAGTTCAAGTCCTGGGAACGCATGTGGACATGACCAAAATCCCCAGAAGAGAATGGAGAATGGATTGTGGGGTTGCCATCCACCTTTGGGAGGTGATTTCTCACTTTCTATCTGTCTCTCTGTGTCTCCAGCAAGTGCACACACCCTGTGGCAAATAAAATCTCTCTGGAAAAAAAAAATCACACCAGGCATGTGTGCATGCATACGCAAAAATCACAGGAGGAGAAGGGATTGTGGTGTGGCCATCCCCACTGGAGGGTGATTTTTCACTTTCCCTCTCACTGTCTCTCTCTAGTGAGCGTACGTACCCTATGACAAAAACCTTAAAAAAATATGTAAGTAAGAATAGTTTCTTTTTTATCAGTGGTAGCTTTTAATTTTATTTAAAATACTATTTACTATTAATTCCTCTTAATTTTATTATTACTTTTATCTACTCTGATATCAACCTCTTGCAGAAGTTGAGTTAACAACATCCAAATTTTCTTGGGCCAACAGGTGGCAGGCATGGTGGTTAAGGCACTGGACGCTCACATGGCTAACTGCAGTTCAAGTCCTGGCTTGCTTTTTCACTTCCCCTCTCTGTCTCTCTCTACCTCTCTCTGGTTAAATTAAAAAATAAATAATTATTTTAAAAATCCAGTTTTTCTTCTGTATAAGCAGTGGTGCTTGTTGTAAAACCTACAGCTAGTCTAGAAAGCGAAAGGCACCCTCTGTTCCATCCTCTCCAGTAGTAACAACTGTTCGTATTGGGTGAATAACCTTCCAGCTGCTTTTAGGCATATGTGTAACACATGGAGTGAATGTGGATATATTAGTATAAAAATAAGGTTATGCTGTTTATATTGTTTTGCAGTATGCTTTTTCCATTTAGTATATTGTAAACATCTGTCACTTTTCAAGTGTATATAGTCCATTGTTTGAATATATCATTTATTTAATCCTGTGTTAATTTATGACCTTATTTTTAGTTTTCAGAGAACTTTCTGATGGAAAGTATTGCCAGAACAATGCTGGCACATAGCAGGATAGCAGATCACTTTTACAGAGAAATACGCTTTTTTTTTTTCTCTTTTTTCTGTTTTTTGTTATAAGGGTGTACGTGCTTACCAGAGAGAGACAGAGAAAGAGAGGGAAAGTGAGAAATCACCCCCTAGGGGGATGGCTACACCACAGTCTCTTCTCCTCCATTCTCCTCTTGGGATTTTGGGTACCCACATACACACCTGCTGTGATTTTTAAAACTACTAGGTCCGGGCCTTGAATTGCAAAGCTGGCTATGTGGGATCCAGTGCCTTAACCTCCATGCCACCTGCTGGCCTAAAATATACCCTTTTAAAAGGGGATTATAAGCCCAGCTGTGGTGGCATAAGCAGTAGGTCACTGTTACGTAATACTGAAGCTGCATAGGAGGCCTAGGTTTGGATTCTGGGTGTATCTGACCATGCCCCGTGTGCCTAAAATCCTGGTCAGCTGGGATGTGAGGGGAAAGAGCGTGGCAGCGGTAGACCTTTCAGGTACCTTTTTCTGCCTCTGTCTGTCTGTGTCTCTCTCTTTCTTTGAGAAGAAGAGAAAGAGAAAGGGAAAGGAGGAAAGGAAAAGAGAAAAGAAAAGAATATGGAGAGGTCAGTTGTAGAGTCTGTGTCTTGACTGCAGCCGCATCGTAGCCTGGGTGAACAGAGCCCCACACTCTTTGCAGTCCTCTACAAGAGACTTGTGGTTACATGCTCTGTGGTTGCATATGCGTATTGTATGGAAACTGCCTAGAAAATGCAGACCTACTCACCCTGACCAGTTTCTTTACTGCAAATTAATCATGTTTTTTGTAAACAAATGATTATCAGTGTATGGTATTTCTAAGCGAATGTTGTCATATTACTTTGGGTTTCTTAAGTTGGTTGCTTGGACATTTATCACAGTTGAAGTTGGTTAATTATGTTCCCCCCCCCCTTTTTTTTTTAAAGGAATTCCATGAGGGCAGATAGTATATCCACAAGCAATATTAAAAATCGAATTGGTAACAAATTACCGCCTGAGAAATTCGCAGATGTCCGACATCTGCTGGATGAAAAACGTCAGCATTCACGTCCACGGCCACCAGTCAGCACCACTAAGTCAGGTATTTTCTTTATTTGTGTTTCTGGGCTTTGTTCTATGCTCCAGAAAGCAAATTGGGTCAGCGATTGGTGTTTGGATTTGTTGTTTGTGAATTGATTTCGTTGTCCTGGTTCATCACGTCAGTTTTGGGTTAGGCTTTGAGATTTCGGGATATGAAAAAAAACATCAGACTTTCGCAGAACTAGCTTCCAGTATTTTTTTTCTCATGTGCCCCAAACAATGATTTTACTCTTTATGTCATTGGTATACTTTTATTTTAATTTGCCATAGGGTACCTGAGAGACAGAGAGGGCAAG